CGGGGCCGGTTGGACCGCGCCTGAGGACGTGGGGACGTGCTCCCTCGCCCTTTGCACTTGCCAGAGTCCCCGGGCAGAGACCGGGGCTGCGGTGCCTGGGCAGCCAGTGGCCCGAGAGGCACCCACGGGGTCACCCAATCCCTCCTCGCCCTGCACACCCCCTCCTCCCCAGGGACGGCCTCCTGGCGCGGTGCTGGGCTCACCGCGGATCTCCATGGCATCTCCTTCTTCCCCCCTGCTCTCATCTACCACCTGTAAATCCAGTCATGTTACCCTTCGCCTCCGGTGTCGTTATTGCTCTCATTATCCCGTCTGGCTTTGCATGAGGCGCCGCTGCCCGCGGCTCCGGGATGCTTCCCACTCCCTGGGGCCCCCCGTGCCCCGACCATCACTCATCGGGGCATCGGGGGCCCATCGATCACCCAAACAAGTGTTTTGGGGGCAAAACACTAAAATCCTGACCTACACATGCTGCGAAGTGTCTGTAAAAGGAGCAGTGTGGACCCAGGGCTCCCCTGCAAGGGCAGTAAAGGAGAATCCTCTGAAACCAGCCAGCAGCTCTGTGTGGTCTGTTTGCCCCTCCAGCCTCGCCACCGTGGCTGTGGGCTGGGGGCTCTCATTGCCTCCTGTGGCTTTGTGCCATGGGCTGCTGGTCCTGGTGGAACGTGCTGGGGCACGGTGGGTCTGACCGGCTCCTGGCACGGGTGCTCCACCCATGGGCTGGGCCTTGGTGTCCCCACGGTGCTGCTGGGCACAGAGCAGGGCCGCAGGGGTGCCCCAGGGCTGTCCCAGGCTGGTGGCACAGCCAGCACTGCCAGGAGGTGAGTGTGGGTGCAGCCCCTGGCCAGCAGATCCCTGGATTTGGGGAGGGAGCAGTGCTGGGACTGTGGGGGCTGCAGAGGCTTTCAAGGCTGAATCTTTCCCATGGGGACAAACCCATCCCTTCCAGCCCCGTCAGTGGGGCTCTGGGCATGGCAGGAACACTGTCCCCACGGCACTCTTCCCTGTGCCCATATGTGCCATTACCACTGCTAGTCCAGGGCTGTGCCCACTGGTCCCGTGGCCTCTGCCCAGTGCAGGCTGTGCCGTGGGCTCTCCCTTTTCGGGCAGCGAGGGGCTGTTGTGGGCAGATGGCAGCAGTTTGCTGTGAGGATGAGGGGC